AGAATATCAAGCAGGGTGAGCTGCATGCTACATGTTCTTAACCTTTCATACAACCTTTCTTGGAGACGGGTTAACAGTCTTTTCTACATTTATCATATAAACATGTAAAATGGATTCTGTGGTCAGAGGTCATAGCATAACAGATGGCCAACTGGATTTGGTCCATGGCCATGGTTTTGCTGACCTTTGCTCTTCCCTAACAGGGACAACCATTTGGGAAACAGCTTTATCACCTACTGGTTCCTCTCAGTTCATTTAGGTCTGGTTTGGGATAATTTCTGCAGGAAAGTCCCTGCATTACTTACTTTTCAGGCTGTGACAAAATGCCTGACCAAAGCAACTTAAGGAGGGAAGGGTTTGTTTTGGCTCACAGTTGAAGAAGGGGTACAGTCCTTCACAGCAGGGAAGGCATGGTAGCAGGAAGGTAACCACAGTCAGGAAGTAGACAATAGACAGGAAGTGGGGCAGCAGTATAAAACTTCAAGGCCCAACGCCAGTGACCTACTTTCTCCAGTAAGACTCCACCCTGAGGGATTCCACAGTCTTCCAAAGCAGCACCAACTATGGACCAACTGTACAAACACATGAGCTATTAGAAACAGTTCGTATTCAAACCACAGTAGTCCCCTAAATGACTTTACCAATTTCTCCATTGTGTCACATGCCCTGTGCCTAAGAGAATAGTGACTCATCCCAACACACAGTCATTTCATGCCAATCATAAGCTTTTTAATATCTTCTAATTTTTATTTTTGATACATGAGGCATGAGAGATACTCAAAAATTATTAAAGTAACAACAAGCCTTATATTTTAAACACCTTGTATTTTATCCAAAGCATTTATTTTCTCTAGCTGAGGGCTCATGACTACTATCACAATCAACAGACATATTTAAAAATAATTTTGAGTGTTTTGTCTGCATAAATATAAGTGCACCATATGCATGTAGTGCCTGTGAAGACCAGAAGAGGGCATTGGATCCCCTGGAACTGGAGTTACAGATGATGGTGAGCTTCACAATTTGCCATGTGGATGCTGGGAACCAAACTGGGTCCTCTGCAAGAACAGCCAGTGCTCTTAACCACTGGACATCGCTCCAGTCCTTCAATAGGCATATTAAACATTGGTCCAGGGAAGAATAAGGCCCAATGCTTGCTCTGGAAACTCTTACATGAGTTTAATAATGCGGTTAACTTGCTAGATGCTCTCAAGAGAGATTACATTAGCTATTCCTGGAATTTGAAAAACGGAGTGATCTGTGTGAGAGTGAGGACAGGGTGCTCAGAACGGGCTTGGTAGAGCAGATCCTTCTTGAATTGAGCCATGAAAGATAGGTAGGGTTTACCTAGAAGATGGAGAAAGAACATTCCAGTCAGGATCACATGTTCTTAGAATGACCATGAGTAGCTAGCTCAGCATACCCAGACCAGAGCATTATTGTGAGTGTGTGGAGCTGACACAGTGCGAGGTGGAAAGGGAGGTTGGTGCACAACTACACAAGACCTTGTGTGGCGTTCGCTGAAGTGCTTGTCCTAAAGACTAAGATACATCACATTTTATAATAATCAGGACTTCTTTCTATGTGAAAAATAATTATTATACACAATGGGAGTGTTATACATTTATAAAGAAAAATAAAATGACATTTGCAGGAAAATGGATTCAACTGGAAAATATGTTAAATGTAAGAAACCATACTCAAATATCACTTTTCCTCTTATATTCAGAATGTATATTTAAAAGGTGTGTGTGTGTGTGTGTGTGTGTGTGTGTGTGTGTGTGTGTGTTGAAATGTGAAAGATTGTGAACGGGAAAGAAGGGATCTTAAGGGAGGTGAAAAATATAGCGCAGTGGAATGTATCTGATAAAAAAGCAGAAGTTAAGACTAATTGGGTGGAGGAAGGGGACCAGCCAGAGTGGGGCAGGTGGCATGGGGAGGGCAGTGGAGAAGGGAGCAATTGAAAACAAAGTACATAATGATATACATGTTTGGGGGTACTGTGATGAAACTCAGTGCATTATATGCTAATGTATAACATTCATTAAAAGAAACAGTTACAGTCATGAACACTAGTTGTATTTCCATTTATCTGGACTGTAGACAATGCGTAGGATAAGTGTAGATTCTGTGGGCCCCAGCAGAGTGCCCTGATCCTCTTCAGGGATTTGCAGTCACATGGCTTGATGTCACACCATTTATGGAGAGCTGGTAGAGTGTTAGAGCTGAAAAGTTGGAGGGATAAACAGGTCACATTTGTCTTCTGGAAAGATTAACTTAGGACTGAGAGATGAAATGGGAAACAGGATCTATGTGCATAAGGGAAGCAATGGGAGAACAGCAGACAGTCAAGGAGAAAGGACACCTGAGGTACCGAAGAATGGGAACCAGGAGAGATTATGTCTCAGGGTGGAGGTAAGTGCATCCTGAGAGGAGTTGCCACCCGGAACAGTGAAGAGGCTGGATGTGTGAGCACAGCTGTGAATGCACAGACCACAGGTTATATACCAGCTCCTTCTCAGCCACTGGACTTACATATAACTTACTCTATCTCTTTGGCTCTACTTTCCTTATATGTAAAATTCAGAAATCCCTACTGGGCTCAGTGAACCAGCCAAATGCAGCAACATGTGTCAGGTGCTTACAGCTTGGCATGAGCTGGAGGGTCAGTGCTTTGTTAGTTGTGATGTTATGAAGGGATATGCGTTTACCATCTGTGGCGGTTTGAATGAGAAAAGTCCCCCATAGGCTCATGTATTTGAATACTTGATTCCTGGCTGGCGACACTGGGAAGGTTGTGGAACCTTTAGGAGGTGGAGCCTTGTTGGAGGAAATACATCACTAGGGGTGGACTTTGAGGGTTTATAGCCTCACCTCAGTTCCTGTTTACACATCCTGCTTCCTGTGTGTGGATGAAAATGTGAAGAACCAGCTTCCTGCTGATGCCACTATGCTTTCCCTGCCAGTTGCCATGGTTTCCGCACCATGATGGACTCCGTCCTTCTGGAACCATAAGCCAAAATAAACCCTTTCTTCTTTTGTTGCTTTTTCTTAGGGTATTTTATCTCAACAATGGGAAAGTAACTAATACAGTATCTTTTATCTGAAATGTTTGGAATCAGAAGCATCTTGAATTTCAGATTTTTTTTAGGACTTTAGAGTATTATCGTATACATAATGAGATATCTTGGGGCTGGGACCCAAGCCTAAACATAAATAGATTTACATTTCATACACATTTTATGCATGTAGCCTGAAAGTAATTTTATACGTTTTTAATGTGCCCGCATTATGACCTGTCACATAAAGTCAAATGGAATTTAATACTTGTGTCATCTTGACACTAAAATGTTTTGAGGGCCAGCAAGATGGGTCAGCAGGTAAAGTACTTGCTGCAAAAGTCTGACAACCTGAGTTTGATCCCCAGAACCTATGCAAAGGTGGAAGGAGAGAACCAACTCTACAAAGTTGTCCTCTGACCTCCACACACATGATGTGGCATGCACATACACCCACAGGCTCACATTCTATACACATGCCCCCCCCATACAATTTTTTTAAGAGGGGAAAAAGTTTTGATTTTTAGAACATTTCAGGTTTTCAAATTTGGGCTTCTCAGCATGTGTTGTTATCTTATACAATTAATATATTCAAAGAATAAAATTTGCTTATTAGACTCATTGAGGTTCTTAGCCACATCTGCTTCAGAAAAAAAAGGCAGATGAGAACAACAGTAAAAAATAAATGATAGGAATAAAGGCCAAATGAAAGTTGGTGGAGGAGAGAAGGGGTGGTACAAAAGTAAAAGAGAATGAAAGACAACCCCAAAGCCCACAGACCAGAAGAGGCACAGGGATTAGGACCAGTGCTCAGTACCACTGCACCATGCTGGGGGGCACTGTATTATGTGTGACAAGACTGGGTAACCACGAACGTGTCCTCCTACCCACCACTCTTGTGACTTCTTGAGCAACTATTGTGTTAAACACATTTTATGAAATCGGTCCGGGATCTGCAGATTTAGGGTACCGTCTTCATTTAGTCACGTACTAGTGAATGGAGCTGCTGCACATCACTTACATGACCTTTGCGCATGTCCACACTGACAGAAAGAAATATTCCCCCTGGTTAAGAGAGACCAACAAGACAGCACACAGGGGCCCGACATCCCTTGCACAGAGGCAGGAACAGCTAAGCATCGATGTGCCCTCCTCTGTCTTAATTTTTATTTAATTATTTTCCATCTATCACTATTTAGTCCGCTTTTCTATTCCTCTGGGAAAAGGTGATGTCCCTCTAAATGAACCCCCCCAAATTTACATAACCTCCCAAGTTTTTTTAAAACAGCAGGTTACCTCTGAGTCTCAACCCCAAATTTCCAGAAGAGAAAATATAAATGATCAAGTTGAGTCAAATTGCTGAGGTCGGAAGGAGCTCAGTAATTAACCCCCTTCTTTATTACCTCAAGTGTGAACCAGTTGAAAACAGAATCAGTGGGTAGCGAACCACAAGCAAACCTCTGTCCTTGATAGAGGTTACTGAGCCAGGCATAGGGCATGTACCTATAAACCTAGCACTTGAGAGGCAGAGGGAAGAAGATTGAGAGTTCAAGACCTGTCTGGACTACAGAGTGAAACAGCCTCTAGTCTCTGTCTATAAGTTAATAAATAGCACAGCTAGTTCTGGAGGATGAGGCTTAGGCACCAGAACAAAGGGGGCCACATGTATTTGAATCTTAGGAAACATCCACTCAGTTCAGTCCCTCCATGCTCCCGACCCCCAGGGAAGAGGAAAAGACTATGTGGCAAGATGTTGGACAGTCTGTGGTGACCCTGGCATATTGGTCATCATTAGATCCTTCTCTTTTTCCCTAAAGTGTAAGGGCAAAGGAGAGAAGGGGATTCCTTTCACTTCCCTGCAGGGAACAGATGTCTTCTAACGACTGTAATATTTGTCTTAACTAAAAACAATCTCTAAAGTGAATTTTGACTCTTGTTCAGGATCTGGATCAAAATCTGAGCAGACTCACAGCTTCGTTTGAAAAGGCAATGACTGAGAAGGTCCGGTGTCAGGAAGAGGTCAATCAAACCAGTAAGACCATTGACCTAGCCAACAGACTCGTCAGTGAACTGGAGGCAAGTTATTTTTCCTTCCGAACGTCTCACTGAAATGCTTAGGTCAGCTTTTTTGGATTGATTATCATTTCTTGTTATTAACTAAATAAACATAGAATCAACATTACAGCAGAATATTTAATCATCACTCAGACTGCAGGATCAAAGTTACCAGAAGGAAGAAGTGACCAATTATAAAACTAGGCGTCAGTGCACACCTGTGATCTTGGCATTTAGGGGGTAGAATCAGGAAGATCAAGAGTTAAGGATAAGGTTATCCTTAGCTACAAAATCAGTTCGAGGTCAGCCTGGCCAACATAAGGTCCTGCCCCAAAACAAAACAAGTGACTAAGCAGGTGCTTTTAAAATATGTCATCAGTAAACTCTGTGACATCTGCATAGTTTCCAATAAAAATAGAGGATATGGCCAGGAGTGGTGGCATTTAATCCCAGCACTCAGGAGGCAGAGTCAGGCAGATCTCTGTGAGTTCAAGGCCAGCCTGGTCCACATAGTGAGTTCCAGGCCAGCTGGGGCTACAGGGAGACCCTGTCTCAAAAAGACAGAAAAAAAGAGGATATAAATGTTGTCAAGATTTAGCTGTTTTGTACCCAGTTTAACACAATTCAGTTGCTAGCTGGTAGATTACCTACTCCCTTTTTCCTCCTCCCTTTTTTCTTCCTGTTTTTTCTTAGCATATTATAAAATCCTTTAAAAACAAAAATAAAGGTTGTTTTTACTAAGATGTGTTATAGAACTTAGGACAGCTGGTAGGTATATTAGCCTCTGAGTTCTACCAGAAAATCATGTTTTCATGCTAAACCTGATTGGTTTATGTTTTTATTGTTAAACCTTTTTTGTGGGTAACTGACATGCTAGCATGAATAGTTTTCCATTTGATAAAAGTTTTAAAATATTTTACTTATTATTTTTAATTTTTTTATGTATGGGTATATTACCTGCATGTAGATAGGTGTACTCCTGTTGTGCAGTGCCCTTGGAGGTCAGAAGAGGGCATTGGATTCCCTGGAACTGGAGTTACAGATGGTTGTTAGCCACCCTGTGTGTGCTGGGAATGGAGCCCCAGTCTTCTGCAAGAACAGCCAGAGCTCTTAACTGCTAAGCCATCTCTCTAGCCCCTAGATAAAATTTTTAAAATAATTCTCATTAACTTTTCCTTGTATTACCATGTATAGTTGAAGAGCATATGACCTTTGACATGAGTAAGTTATAATATAAGATTTTCTTTGGTCTACCACGTGGCATTAAACAATTTCAGGCAAGTCCCTGAAGCCCTTCAGCTTTGTTTTCTTGTCTCTAAATGGGAATTTGGTTAATATGTAACATACATTATCTATGTGAGGTTATGATGAAACTCAAAAGAGGTATTATCTGTCCGTATGTTTCCAGGGAAAATAAAAAAATAAGCCAATTAAAAGATAGGCAAGGAATTTAGACATTTCCCAGTTATAGGCATACAGCTAGCTGATCCATATGTATGAAAATATGTCAACATCAGTCACTAGGAAAATACATATTAAAACTCCATACCCTATAGTGTAGTTATAATAGAAAACAAGGACAACATGATGATGCAGCTTGTGATGGTGCCTTGGTTTGCGAAGAAGCCAGCATTATTGTCTTCATTCGTTGAACACAGGACATACAGTTAGAAGGATATGTAAGAAGAAGGGGAAAGCAGCCTTAATAGTGCCACCTAGGTAAAAATGCTAGATGTCTTGGGGTCAAACATCCTTCTCATCCTGGATCTGATACATATATGTGCCTATAGATAGAGATGTATTTTTTTTTTACTCTAGTGATTAATAAACCATCTCCATCCCTAAAACAAAAGAAAGAAAAAGAAAAAAAGGACAATAACAAATATTGGTAAGAATATAGGGAAACAGGAACCATTCCATGTTGTTTATTGGAGCATAAAATGTTTCATCCTCTTTGGAGAACAGTTTGGCAATTCCTCAAAATGATTTTTGGTTTTGGTTTTGTCGTTGGTGGTGGTTGGTTGTTTTTTTTGGAAGGGGGTGTTTGGGGGAGGTTTGTTTTGTTTTGTTTTGTTTTTTTGAGACAGAGTCTCCCTGTACCCCCAACTGTCCTGGAACTTGCTATGTACACCAGGCAGGCCTCAGTATCACAGGGATTTGCCTACCTCTGCCTTCTGAGTGCTGGGCTTAAAGGCAAGTACCATCACACCCAGCCCAGTTCCTCAAAATGGTAAAGGTGAGGTTATCATGTAACTTGACAATGCTGCTCATTGATATATACACGAAGAAATGAAAACAAGTGCCCATACAAAAGTTTTGATGCCAGTTTTCATTTCAACAGCCTCAAATAGAAAGAACTCAAATTCCATCAATAGTATAGTATCAAAAGTATAATATATCCATGTGATGCTCTACCATAGATAAACCTCAAGACTATCACCCTAACTGAAAAAAAGCCAGGAGTATGACATACCCAGAATAGACCAATTCATAGAGCCAGAAAGTGGTTGCCAGTAACTGTGCATGGTGCCGTGGCTTTGGGAATAATGTCTAATAAACACAGAGGGGTTTTTGTCAGGGAGGGGAAAAAGGAAAAAACATTCTAAAATTACATAATAAAGATGGTTGTCCAAGTCTATGAATATACTGAAAACTCACTTATATACTTCAAAAAATAAATTTCATAGTATAAGAATTATATCTAAATATTGCTATTTAGGCATAAGTTACATTAGATATTATATAGTTGTATATCGATATTGGTATATGATACACTTAGTATGTAAAAAGTATGTGAACTAAGAAAATGTGTAACTAAAAAGTACGTGACTGTATTATTAGAAATGCATGTAGCTGGTAAGTACATAACAATAGGTGAAGATGATAGAAAACGTGATTTACAGTAGTTTAAAGATACATTTAAAAATTGCCAATGGTAGACATGGTAGGTGTTGACTGAGGTGATGAGTAATAAGACACCCAGTACTTTGCCTAAAATTTCCCAAATCTCTCTAGTAGACTCCCATTTAACCTACCCTCCTTCCCTCCCTCCTCCCTCCCTCCTTTACTTCCTTATTTTCTTCCTTCCTTATTTCCTTCCTTCCTTCCTCCCTCCCTCCCTTCCTTCCTTCCTTTTTTTTTAAACAGAGTCTCATTCTGTAGTGTAGGCTGGCCTAAAATTCACAGTGTAACAATCTTTCTGCCTCGGCTTCCTAAGTGCTGATATTATAGGCATGAACCACCACAACTAGGCTTATGAGGTTTTTTTAAATGTAATTTAAACTTGCTACAACCTGAACCCCACCAACCTTCTGTAAGTACACCGTTCCTCTACATGCACTTTCCATCCCATATCAATAACTGCAAATCCTCTGTATTGTTTCTGACCAAAAGCTTTTGAATTGCCTTGGCTTTTTCTAATTTCACAGACAGCTGATTCATTGAAATATTCTGTAACTTTATCTTGAACGTCCATTCGGATCTCTCAGCTCTTCTCACTTCCTTCACTCCCCCCCTTAGTGTCCACACTACCAGCATCACTCCTGGAGTACCTTCCTGCCCTCCCCATTTCTCCCTAAAGTCCTTTTCTCTCCTTGTAGCTGGAGGGCAGCTTAAAAACCAAATTTGCCCCGTCACTTTACCCAGAACTTCATAATAGCTAATCACCTTGCTCAAAGCACCGTCTAAAGGCTTCCTGTGGCTTATGTGATCTGGCCTCTGGATGGCTCCCTGTCCTCACCCCTTCCCTCCTGCTGCATTGCCAGAGGCCTTGGTCCTCCTCACAAAGCTGTTTGCTCTCCAATCTGCCACTTTTGGCCTCTCCGCCACAGCTGTACTCTCCTTCCTCCACTGATGGGTGCCTGACTCCCTCACTTCTTTGCTAAAAGCTTCTTTCAGCAGGCGGTTTCGGTACATAAGTGCACTCACCTTGCCCAACACATACCCACAAGCACATATAAACACTCACACACACACACACACACACACACACACACACACCACATGCACGCACGCATGTGCAGAACAAGAGAGAGCACTCTATGGCTCTTTTCTATTTACATTACAGTTTTTCATAGCATCTCTCATCACACAGCACAGTTTTTTATATGACATATATATATAGACACACACTTGATTTATTCTTTAGCAACTTCACACATGAATGCAACATATTTAAGTCATACCTCTCTACCCCTCCAACTCCTCCCAGACCCTCCCTCACATCCTTCCAACTTCCATCATCATCTCCTCCTCCTCCTTCTCTTCCTCTTCTTCTCCTCCTTTTCCTCCTGTTTTATAACCTACTGAGTCCAGTTGGTGCTGCCCTTATATGCATGGCATATAGAGCCATCCACTGGATCATGGGCAACCTACAAGATGTCATAGCCCTAAAGAAAACTGGCTCTCCCTCCATTATCAATAACTCCTTAACTAGGAGTGGAGGCTCATGAACCCCTTCCCCCTCCATGCTACAGTGTTGACTGGCGTGATCTTGTGCAGGCAACCTCAGCTGCTATGAGTTCATGAATACAAAGGGCCTGTCATGTTTAGAACTGTTTGGCCCTGGTCCTCCCTGACCTCTGACTCTTACACTCCCTCTTCCACAATGTTCCCTGAGCCTTGTGGGGGAAGGGATAGATACATACATTTTTGTGTGGGTTTCTTTTTCCTCGAATAGAATATAAGCTTTTCAAGAACAGGATCTTAATGTTTTATGAACCACTATATTCCAGGCACAGAGATTAGTCTCCCAATATCAAAGTCATTGACAGATATTTGTTGAATAAATGAATTACTGGAGTTTCTTTTGTTTAAAAAAAAGATTCTAGATTCTTTGAAGACTCAATCATTTTAGATCAATTGAGAAATCTTATTACTAGAAATCTTTTTATAGCTATTTGCACTTCATGTGGTAAGATTTAACTAGTTGGAGTGTTTACCATTTGTGGGGTACCTGTCAAAAAGAATGTCATATAATTACACTGTTCCTAGAGTCCAGAAGCAAATTTCAGGGTGGGCGC